CCAAAAATTAAGCGATCGACACCTATTTCTTAGCATAAATATGTTATTATTATAACGTATAAATAAATAAATATATATATAAAATATTACATATAAATCTTAAATAATAAAAATTAATCATATAATAACACATCATAATTATATTTCTATAATTTTTTTTATCATTAGCCAAAAATTAAGCGATCGACACCTATTTCTTAGCTTAAAACATACTCTTAAATAAAAGCAGGATTTTTGTTCGGGTTGATTAAGGAATGAAAGAGATCTTTAGACATTATCTAGTTCTTGACGTAGATGTGAAATAAACAATGAGTAGGTCCTCTGATCACTCTCTCAACGCGGAAAACTCTATTCGTCATTCTTCTTGTTTAGGTACCGATATCATTAATTTCTCTAAGATTTTTGAGCTTAATTACCGAGATCCAGCTGTTTTCCACGAACTCTCAAGACTGTTAAAAGACACGAGTACGATTTTTTCATAAAAAATTCTGTATGAGTCGTCATCCTCTTGGCCATTTATCTCATGATCTCTCCATATATAATGTAGACGAATTTGATACCTTGTTTTTTTCTTTTATTGAAAGCAACCATATATTCAGCAGTGCTGAAATACATCGAATTCATTAATACCTTGTTTCCACTGTAATAATTGTATATATGGGTAACTTTAAAAGTTAAATTCACTTACCAAATATTGTTTTATAAGAAAGTTTTAGAGTTTAATTAAGTTTTAAAGTTAATATTTATAAAAATTAATTTTTTTAAAATATATTAAATGTATATAAGAAATGTATTTTTAAGATTATTAAAAAGAGATTTAATTTCGACATACATAAAAAATTAAGGCAAAAGGTGCAGATCACCCCCTAAACTCACCAACTGGTGGCAAATCACCCCCTCAACCCCAACTGGTGGCAAATCAACCCCTCAACTCACCTGCAGTGGCAAATTAACCCCTCTCTTAACCCTTCCGTTAACACTTAACGGTCCGCTCATCAACCCTTCCTCTGTGTTTGACGTGGCCTTCTTTTTGCTGAAGTGGATGCTGAGGTGGAGGCACAGCTGGACAAATACCTCAAAATCACCGGATTAAGCAAAATACCCCAAAGCTCCTCGACGCAGCGTCACTGGAGAACCGTCAGCTATCATCACCGGAAATTGGCAAACCTTTTCCGACGGGTCCTCATCCGTCACAATCGCCAACCTCGAGAAATCACAATTCCCATCGTTCTGGTTATTCACTTGATAGTACATGTTGAAGGCATACGAGGCATTTCCCTCCGGGTTCAGGTGATTGCAGGAGGAGCCATAGCCCAACACAGTGCAATCGGAGTGAGCGCAGGCATAACTGATGCTATCTGGTAAATCCTCGAGGTCAGTCGCGTCTGGGTTGAAAACGCACCATCTCTTGCTCAGATACCTCACCCCCTCCACTGCAGCTAGACCTTTGTTTCCATTCTTTCCCGTTAAATCCAGTTCGTATTTGGGTTTTCTGTCGAACTCGAAGATTCCCCAATACCTCTCGAAGGTTCCGGCATTAATGTCCTTGGCGTTCTTGTTGATTAGGCTAAAGAGGTAGACATTAATTGGGCCACCCAGAGCTGGGGTTCCGTTCCCGCTCATAGCATGTTCGAGCAAACCCTGGTTGAATCTCCTTGCATTCTGGGTGTTCGCGTTTTTGTCTCCATCTGTTTGCCAACCAACTTCTCCGATGATAATCGTCATATTGGAGAATCCGTTTTTGTCCAGGGCTGAAACCAGAGTATCCAGGTTTGCGT